CCATGGGGGGAACTGGAGTGGCTCTTTGCCAGAACAATTACCTTTTCTCCTCCCAAAGCATTTATTGTCAAACTTATTTTTAAAAAAATCTGTTTTACTTAAGTTTTTTCATTCTAGGGCTAGAGCAAATAATGTTTTTATACTGCTAAGAATGACTAGCAATGGGTGCAGCTTTAGCTACATTTCTATTCGAGTCACAGTGACAGGTGAACTGCAACAGTACAGATTGCAAACCCCTTGGTAATACACTTGCTGGGGGCAAAGGATCCTTCGTCAAGGAAATCCTGCTGGGGACAGTCTTCCAGAGGATATCAGGCAGTTCAGGGGCAGAGATCACATTTATGAAAGTAGTCTAATGTCTGTGAAGAGAGAGGTAATTAGCTGTGTTAGCCTGATGTCAAGCAGAAGACAGGGCAGGGTCTCCTATGAAAGCTTATGCCTTTCTGAACAAGTTAGTCTTTAAAGTGTTACCCTGCCCTGCTTATTTGAGAGGCTCCCTGCTGTGATTCTCACAGTTCAAAGGCCCTTTTTATTCTCTAATCCAGGGTTTCTCAACCTCTTGGCCCATGGAGCCATTGTATCTGGCCCGTAGGGCTGGCCACAGGTTAGGAAATTTGATGGCAGGGAAGCAGTGGCCATTAATACTGCCACCCTCCCCCACTGCCAAATTCCCAAACCCTGCATGGCAGATCAGAGCCAGGCCATAACCCCCTCCCCCTGCACATCTGGATTGGGGCTTGCCACTCCCTTCTCTCTGCACAACTGAATCAGGGCCAGACCATGCTCTCTTCTTCTTCTATGGTCAGGTTGGGGTCAGGTCACAGCCCCTTCCCTGCTTTGGGGACAGGTTGGGGCCCCTTTGCTCTGCATGGCTTGATTGGGGATGTGCTACCCTCTGCCCCACTCCACGCTGCCAGATAGGGCTCCACTGCTCCCACCCTGGGTTCTGGATCGGGGCCACCAGCCAGATCCAGCCCAGAAACAGATTGGGCACTACCCATCTGGCCTGCCAAGGTGGAAGAAGGTTGAGCACCCCAGCCCTAATCCATCTTAACTCCCCATCAAAAGTATACTTAAAGCATATTTTTGTGCCAAAAAAGGGAGAAGGGCCAGTGACTTCATGAAATTCATTAGGAACTTGCTATTGATGTGGGATGTTTTTATTGAAGATGCTCAGCTGCTGCAGTAGCTCTTAAATACTTGGTTTCTTTTCCATCAGTTATTGTGTCTGGCCTTTGCTGTTGAAGGTTAGATTCTATCACCTTTTATTACATTAAGTAGAAACTTAACTCTGCAGGTAGTTCTGATACCACTGTGATTATTTGTGCAGTAAAGTGTTCCTAGATAGTAACAGTATTGGTTGTTGAGACCTGATTGAATTGTATTAACTAAATATGAAGTGAACTTTAGGGCTCTTTTAAGGTGGATGAGGAGGGGAGTGTGTGCGTGTGCTTTATGAAGAATTCCCAGTCAGTCTAGCTCTTTGAAAATCAGCTTGTATATCAAATAAATACCTTAAACATGTATTTTCCATGGAGGATTCCCAGTATTCGTTATCAAACTGATCACCCAGGTATTTAGGATGGGGAACAAACACCAAATGTCTTGTGCAGGCAAGTTTTTGAAACTTCATGACTACAAATGATCGAATAATCAGACTGAAGCTCTAATGGTCACAAATATTTTCTGATTTGAATACATGCAACATTAAGTCTGATTTGGGGTAAAGTGTATATATAATGCATCAACAAACAGCAATCAATTGCAAATAGTTCACTCTGAAGTACTACACATCTGATGATAAGTAGCTTAAAAATGCATTGATTGAAAACAGCAGGCACACAGTTTCACCAAACAAAGCAGTAGTTTTGTTACTATGCACTTTTATGTTGATTCTTACTCTGAATATTATAGTTATTTATAATTAATTTTGATATTGAAATATGAATAATATGTACCTATCACTTAAAATGGCTTTTCCTGGGGTTTTTTTTTTTTTTTATTATAGCTGAGATGCTGCATAACAGTAGGCTGTTAATAGAAATAACCATACGGGTATGATTGCACAATATGTATAGGACAAGTCTTATCTGAATTCACTCAGTGGTGCTCAGCCTCCTGGCCCTGCAGAGTCTGGAAGAATGGTGTGGGGCTAGCCTGTGGGCTAGATCTCATGGGTGGTGTCAGTCTGCAGGCCACATCTAGCTTGAGGTCAGTGTGCAGGGTGGCCCTGTGTGTTAAATCCAGCCATAGAGTGGCCCCACACACCAGTGCAAGTCAGTGTGGAGGCTATTTCCTCCAGCCTACAGAACTCCCATTGGGTCTGGAAATTTGGCAGCTAGGGAATGGTGGTGGCAGCGTTAATTGCCATGGCTTAGGAAGCCACAACAATTAACGCTTCCACCTAAGCCCAAGAGAAATACAAGTTAGGTGGCAGAAAAAACTATTTATTCCCCAGCTGCCAAATTTCCAGACCCATGGGGGTGCCCTACAGGCCAGGTGACAAGGCCCTGTGGGCTGGAGGTGGACCACCACTGCAGTGTTTCTAGTTAAGTAATGTGTGCTCTGGTTGTATTTCAGGTAGGGTTTGCAGTTGACATAGTCCTGAGTTTCAGCAAATCTAATTTTACTTTCTCAAGCTGATTGCTCTACTTCTTGTCCAAAGGTCTTTTGCATGTTGGTTCCCACTTTAAACTCTGCAGTTTCTGCAACCAGCATAGCGCTAGTCCACTGAGTAATGATGGTAAAACTGGACCCGGGCACCAGCAGCTCTTACAGCAGTTCTCAGGCTAAGTACAGACATTCAAAAAGCCTGAGGCTGAATCGATTCAGTCTTTGCAGGTTAGTCTAAACTGCACAGATTAATTTGAAAAAGAAGTGAACAGACACTTATCTTTTGAGTCAGGAAATGCAGCCACATACCTGCAGTGGCTCAGGCCAGAAACCCGGGGGGGCAGGGCATCACTAGAGCACAGCTCTGTTGTTGTGTGTTCACTTCTTCTCCTGCTGCCCCCGAGGTCTTTGGGATTTGCAGTCCAGAATTACAGCAGCAGGACCCGTCAGGGTTACTCATCACTTCCTCTTCCTGTTTCCAGGTGCCTCTGAGATTTGTAGTCCACAGTTGTAGCCAGCAGAAAGTTTGAGAGGGGGAAGAGGTATTTAACCCTCCTCCCTGGCCTCAGACCCCAGCTGGGGTTTGCCTGTCGGTTGGGGGGCAGTCGTCCCCAGCCCTGGAGAGTGGGCTGAATCTCCAGACAGGCTTGCACTTCCCCACTCAAACCCCATCCCCTGGTCAGCCAGCCCTCCCTGCTCTAGCTAGGGAGCAGAGGGGCAGAGCCAGCCCTGCTCTCTGGAGCAGACAGCACAGCCCAGGGGCTGGAAAGCATGCTGTGGGGGACTCTGATTTAACTTGAACCAGAAAAATAACGGTTAAATTCTTCTGTTGAAATCTCTGGTATATCTTGTGAATTGTGTAGGTGTTTGTGTACCTAAGAGTGCTAATATGGTGCATCACCCTTAATAGGGTCTCACAGCACCTAGGGTATCACTGCACCCTAGTCAGAAATCAGTGAGCTATCACTAGAGTGGGTTAGAAAAAAATCAGCGAAAAACTTCCCTTCTTCCCCTTTCCCCTAGCAGGAGTTTCAGGCTTCCAGTTTCCTTACAGCCTATCTGAAAGCCTGATTTGAGCCAGCACATCCAGGTGGAATTGTGCAGAAAATGGCTTGCCCATCTCATGAAAATGTAAGATGTATTATTTATTTATTTTTCTGTATCAGGACAGAACAGCATTTTAAAAGGCAGTTTTGGACCCAAAATAACCAATGGACTGGTGGGTAGGGTAATCAGTTGCAATAAGGGGGGCCGAGGTTCAATGTTCTTGTTCTTTCTGATTCAGATCAGGAATTGAGCCTCTTGTTTCCCATACCCTAAGTGAGTACCCTAAAGCATTGTTTGTTCTAGTGTGTCTTCTGCATGCAAGAAACAGCTCCCAACCCGCAGCCAAAGTTTCATTTAAATCAATTAATTCAAATTGATTCTGGATATTAGCTGCCAGAAGAGTTCTGCCCAGATGAATTCCAAAGGCTTCCTGGCTTCCTTTCCACATGACTAGGTGGGCTGTTGAAAAGGGCTTCTAGACACCTTAGTTTCTGAGCTACCCATCAGGCTCTGGCTCTTGTTATGAGCCTGGTCCAATGTCATTGCTGCAGTTCTCTGGCAGACAGCTATGAAGTAAACTTCATTCAAAACCGCCACTTTTTCTGCAGCCCACCAAAAAGCATTTTAATTTCAGAAAAAAGGTTTCTGAAACAAAATCTTGTGCTTTTGAGACTTTTTGTGCTATGAAAAGATTCAGGCTTGTCTTGATTCACGAGTTTCCAAAACTCAATTTTTTTTCCTAACTGAAATCAGGGTTCTTAGTCATTCTAGTTCAGGTCTATTAGTGGTAATTACAATTAACTCATTTTTATGACTCATCCATATTGATCTTAGAAAAATAAATTTGGTTACAATAATGTCTCCAGATGTCTAACTAACAGTCCATGAACATTTTTATTGTGCAAGTTGATACTCTTGCTTTATATGGTGTTGAAATAGTTTACTTAAGGACAGGCAAAGTATTACCCAAAGATGTGTTTTTAATTTTTTTGTTAGTAGCTGGTTCTTAGTGTTTATCTTCAGATCTATCTTGCTCAATAAGCATGAATGAAAAAATTAAATTTGTTTAAAGTATGGGTAAATACTTCAAAAAGTACAGTTTTGGTAAACAAGAAAATAACCTCATTCATATTTAACTTCGGCTTTGAAGGAAAAACAATATACAGTTCTGATATCTAACAATAAATAGATATTATTTTAGAGTTCTATTTTTGTAAGCTGTGTGGAGGGTAGACTGCAGGGTTTGTTCTATACTGGACAACCCTTAATTTATTTTTAATTTTGTATTGTTTGACACTTTTTGTAAAATTATTTTTTTTTTTCCCCTTCCCCTCTTAAAGGTAGAAACCTGTGGGTTCTTGTTCTGGGAAGGTGTCCAACCAAACATAGGATTGGCATACCAGAGTTCAAGTATATTGCTAATATGCATGGGGATGAGGTACGTCTACAATTTCAATTTCTGCAATGTCATTTATAGCAACATGCTTACCAGGGATCTTAGAAGGAAGTTTTTTTCATGCACATACTGCTTTTATTGGGTTCAACCCCAGTCTTTTAGCAGCTTCCACACTGTTAAAGATGACCTACAAGATTTTTTTTTTTCAGTTGGACTTGTTCCCTTTTTATCACTTCAGGATGGACAAAGGTGGTTTTAAATAAGTATTTCTGTTTTGTGGATTTTTGCTTAACCTCAGACATCTCAGGAATGTCAAATCTGGTATTCCCCGGTTTGGGTGGAAGGCCTTAGGAGTGTTTGTTTTGAACTCCAACACCTTCACTTGGGGGACTTTTTTAACAAAGGCTTCCTTTCTCCAAAATGTGCTACAGAGTTATAGATGTATGTGAAATATGCAGAAAAAAAATTAGATGGACTAAGACACTCCCTTTGTATAACTCGGTTCTGTTTAACTCAGGCCTGTGAAACTGCCACTTTCACTAATCCAGTCTGTTATGTAGCCCAGGAAAGACCTACATTTTTTAAACTTTATAAAGCCTTATCTCTTATCTGTTACAGGTCCCTTCTAAAACTTCAGAGTGAAAACACTAGGAGTTAAATTCCAAATGTTTCTTTAGGTGCCTGACTCCACCAAAGTTCCACAGAGAAATTCAAAATAGCCCTGGGCCAGCAGCCATAAAACTCTTTAGGTATCTAAATTCCAAACACATAGGTGTCTCCATTTGGGACTGCAAAGTGTCTTGGACATCCATGTATTTAGAAGCAATTTGTGCAATTGGGCATATCACAATATCTGAATATTGTTAGGAAGCATCTTAACTCCTCCACCTAAGCCCAAGAGAAACAGATATTTTTTCTGCCACCTAACTTGCATCGACAGCACTGAATTCAGGTCACAGTTCTTGATGGGAGTCTTACCTACATTTTGCCCAATAGCCTGGTCATTAGACCACTTGCCCAAAAGAGGAGCATATGACCTTTAAGTTTTCCTTAACCTGGGAAAGTTTGGACCATCACTGCTCCCTTCCCAAGGAGTGCCATAACCACCAGGCTACAAAATAGGCATGCCACCCTTCTTGTTGAAGCTAGGTTACTCTGCAGCTGAGACCAAAAGGAGAGCAAGCAAGAATGGAGCCTGACTCTTAATATTATGGTTATGACACTGCTATGGGAGATTTGAAATCCTAGAGCCTTTGTACAAGCCACAGAATTGGCCTCTAAAGTGGCTTAAATGCCCTTTTACACTGCTTTAATGGCATTGCTGTTTACACACACAGTGGCATACTGCGCTTTAAATTTCTTTGATACGTAGCAAGGTAAAACACCTCCAAGGTGTTTTAGTTTGCTGTCCTAACAAAGTGCAACAACTACGGAGGGAAGCACTGGGCCTTGCGCAGCTCAGGCTGTGCAGCCCAGCAGCAGCCTGTGCGGGCAGGCTCCACTGAAGGGCAAAAAAAAAAAAGAATGCAGCAAGCCTGATCTTTTTTTTTTTTTTTTTTCCTTCTTCTTCCTGGAGTCTGCCTGCCTGAGCTTTGCGGGGCCCAGTGCTTCCCTCTGTGGCTGCGTGGAGGCCAATGCTTCCCTACTCAGCTGCAGTGCCCCCTGGAACGGCCCAGGCCAGGTGCCAGCAGGTGGGTGCTGCCTGGCAGGCGCTGCCAGCATGGAAGGAAGCATCCTCCCCACCCCCTTCCCCGCAGCTCAGGGACTGCTCAGCCTGCCAACAGCTCGCTCCCCACTCCCTTGCCCCTACTGCCGGAGGGGCAGGTAAGGATCGGGCCCCCAACCTTGTGCACACGCCATGAGGGTTTAGTTTGGTTTAATTCTCCCTAAATTGAAGCAATGTTTTAAAAAACCCACTGTTTCAATTGAGGGATAATTTAACTGAATTAAACCCCCATGGTGTGTACAAGCACCCCTTGGTTCCAGTCTCTGCTTCCAGCACTGTTTTTATATTTTACATTTTAGTCATTAGTTGAAAAGCAGAAACAAGCCTGCTGCCAGGCTTCTTGAGCAAGTGCTTTAACGACTAGATTATTTGGCGTCTTTCCCCTCAATGACTGTCTCTGTGGTAGGACTCCACAACGCAAATGGAGATGCTTAATGGACAGTTTGATATATGGGCCTACAGTCAAACACACACTACTGTGCATTAAATGTTTCTATTGGCTACATCTTGGCAGCTCTGGGCTTTTTGAATAGCCCATTGAGGTGCCTGCTGCTCCTTCTTTACACAGAGCACCAGGATGCTAAAATCTAAATCGCTCTTAGGAGTCTCTGAAGACTCTTCATTGATTGTAAATGATCCTAGGCACCTAACTGACTCACTTTGATTTACACATTGCCCCACTTACCTTCTAATACTACCCCAGTAAGGCAATTCAGTGAGACTCATTGCCCCCAGCCTATTTTGAATCCCAGCCTAAATTTCCTATGTGGTATCTGGACCTAATGTCAAATATCTAGAGACTCTAACATGTAGGGCCTGGGTCCAGAACTCAATGGAGAGTGCATTGGACCTTTCTTTCATCATCTGAAGCATAAAGGAAACTTTACAAATACTCTGTCTGGATAATATGCATATTATCCAGACAGAGTATTTGTAAAGTTTCCTTTATGAATACAAAGCAATGAATTTGCACACTTCACATTGTGGAAAGAATGCCTTTTAATAAAGGCACAGTGATTATTGCATGGTGAGAGGCAGTTTACCTCCTGATACTCATAAGCCACTCTAATCAAGAAACTCACCTAAGTGTAAAAAATATAAGAAAGAGGAGACTTCATTTATTTTATCCTTTAGCTACAAATGTTTTCATAGGCAGGCTTAAGGTTCTGTCAGTGTTACATCAAAAGAATATATTTCATTGTTATTCCAAAATCATAGGCAATTGGCAATAGTTCAGCAGAATTATATACTTGACAGTGTAAATTCTTGAAATCTAGAAAGCTACAGATTACATAGTATATGCTTCCTTCTTACAGCTATAATTTACAAATACTGAGCAGAGAGAGGTAAGTAGTTATGTTAGTCTGAAGTCAGGCAGAAGGCAGGGTAGAGCTGCACCTTTTGGACTAACTAAATAGACTAGATATAGTAAGTCTAACTAACTGTAGTCTCTTTAATTAGTCTATAAGATGCATCTCTACCCTGCCTTCTTTCTCTCACTATTGTGTGTATGGACCCAGAAGCAAATGTGACAACTGTAAAGGATTTTATAGATTTCTAGAGTTGGAAGGGACCTGGTAGATCATTGGGTCTGACCCCCTGCTCCAGGCAGGAAAGAGCACTGGGGTTAAGTAACCCCAGCCAGATGCCTGTCTAATCTCCTCTTGAACACCTCCAGGGTAGGGGAAAGCACCACCTCCCTTGGATACTCATTCCCTATTTTGGCAACCCTTACTGTAAAAAAAAAAAAAAAAAAAAAAAAAAAAATTCTTCCTGATGTCCAATCTAAATCTGTTCTCCTTCAGTCTGTAGCCATTATTTCTGGTAACCCTGAGGGGCGCCCTGGTAAACAGAGTATCCCCTATTCCCTGCTGACCCCCTCTGATGAGTTTGTAGGCAGCCACAAGATCGCCTCTCAGCCTTCTCTTGCGGAGGCTGAAGAGATTCAGGTCCCTTGGTCTGTCTTCATAGGGTCTTACCTGCAGGCCCTCAACCATACAAGTAGCCCTCTTCTGAACCCTCTCAAGGTTATCCACATCCCTCTTGAAGTGTGACGCCCAAAACTGGGTGCAGTACTCCATCTGCGGCCTCACCAATGCCGCATAGAGGGGAATTAGCACTTCCCTAGACCTGCCTGTGATGCTCCTGCTGATGCAAGAAAGAGTGCGGTTAGCCTTGCTTATTACCTCATGACAGTGGCGACTCATGTCCATTTTTGCGTCAACCAGGACTCTGATATCTCTTTCCACTGTTGTGGCTCTCAGAATGGTACCCCCCCCCCCCGCCCTCGTTGAATTGCATCCTATTCTGATCTGCCCACTTCCCCAGTCTGTCCAAATCTGCTTGAATTTGCTCTCTGCCCTCCAGTGTGTTTACTCTGCCCCATAGTTTAGTGTCATCTGTGAATTTGGACAAGGTGCTTTCAACACCTTCATCCAAATCGCTGATGAAGATATTAAACAGTACTGGTCTAAGAACAGAGCCTTGGGGGACACCACTGCCCACATCCCTCCAGGAAGAAACCAACCCATCCACCACCACTCTGGGTTTGTCCCATAAGTCAGTTTTTCACCCACCTTACTGTGGAAAAAATCCACATCACAGCTACTCAGTTTGCTCGTAAAAATTGGGTGAGACACTGTGTCAAAAACCTTTTTAAAAGCCAGGTAAATAATATCTACTTCCTCCCCTGCATCTCAGCACTTTGTGACATAGTCATAAAAAGAAATCAGGTTAGTCAGGCAGGGTCTGCCTGCTATAAACACATGCTGGTTGCCCCTTAACATTGTGCTACCTGCTGGGCCCCTGCAAGTGTGATCCTTTATGATTTTTTTCTCAAGTCTTGCTGAGGATAGATTTCTCCAAATTAAACTGAGTTTACTTTGTTTTACTCAAGTGGCCAAGCTAAAAATATGACTGTGAAGCTATCCATGTACAGAGCCTCAACTGAAACGGACCATGTTGTATGACGGGCTTCTTGTGGGAGGGAAAGCCATATATACATGCATTTATTACATTTCTGCCACATTTCACTACTTCAGTTGGTCAAATTCTCCTTTAAATGACCAGAGTCTTGAGGCTTAACTGAAATAAAGCAATCACATGCACATTTGTATTTTTGAAAAAAAAACAGCAATTGACTAGCTGAGACATGTTTCTGAAAAGTTTATTTCTGGGATCTATAATCACCTTTGGCCTATATTCTGCATATGGATTTACAATATTCACAGTGGGTACGTCTGCGTGTTCATTAATGTGCAGGAGTTACTGTCTATTTAATTTAGTACTTGTTTAATGAAGTACTAACTAAATACAC